AAATGAACGGCCGCATAGAGTTAGAGGAAAAATATTCTACCGTCAGAAAAAAAAAGATTAAAAGGACACCTACGCAAATCGTACCGTACGGAAGGAGCCAAGTGTTCCGAGTGCTCGAAAGAAAGAGAAGAAATAAAATAAGAAAGAGAGGAAGCGTCGGAGCAGGTTGGCGCCACGCGGTACTGGTTGCCCCGTGGTTGACACGACAGCGGATTGATTATAGTGTAGCAAGCCGTCAGATTGATTTGAGCCTCGATAAAACTCAATATTACCTAGCGATCAACGATCAAGGTCCTGGTCTCGGCACACACCCCATACAACGATTGTAAAATTGTTAACTGATTTAATTGCTTCTCGAACGCCTCGTTACCGGTACGCTAATTGCTATTTAGGTCGGACCTGAAATCGCGGTTTTTATCAGGAAGTCGCTCGAAATTCCATCGGTAATGATAGATACCAGAGACGACATGAACGCGACTCGAGAGATGCTGAAAAATGGAGGCTAGTCAACAGTGAAATATAGCCTTTGTGCAATAGTGAGACAGTTGTGCAATGATCGTTGTTCAGACAGCCGCTATTAAAATGATTTAGCTCCAGGGAATGAAATAAATGTCTGCATAAATAATGTGTTTGATCTTTGTTAAGAAACATGAATTTTAAATGGATCGATTTAGATTAGATTCTTTTAGATTAGATCTGTGCTATGCGTATAATAGTGTTACTATCATACGTATATTATATTATTATTACTACTCATAAAATCGATATGTATTCACCACTTTGCATTTGTACATTTGAAAATCTATCTACAGAGTAATAAGGAATTAATTTTTCTTACACATGTTAATTCAATATCGAACCAGACTCAATTAATGTTGGCATCTTAAGGAACGGATTTGAAAGACGTTTCATCGAGAAATTCCTACTCGTCATTGAAACGATGAAGAAGCCTACGGCTGACGATGCGAGACAAAACGATGCACAAAAGGTAGAAAAGGGGAAATATATCAACACCTGAGCATTCGGGAGAGAATCTCCGGCGTGTCGTAATGCACACGAGAAATGTTGCACGCGTGTGTGCCCTAAAGGTACGGTATAGGCGAGAAGAGAGGAGAGAGAAAGAAGAAGAAAAGGACCTCGTAAGACGTAAGATATCGGCTCTCCCCAAACAGGTTTCTTAGACACATTCTTTCTCGGGCTGATGCTCGCCATTCGTGCAACCAGCTTCTTATTAATTATTACTTCGTCTCCGGGCTGGGATTAAGTCACGAAATTTAAGACAGTCTCGTTCCACCAGACAATTCTATTGTAATGTACACTAAAGTTTTAATGAATTTCCATAGTTTAAACGATTTTATATTCTCATATTAAAGTCATGTTTCATCCCTTGAGTTTAAGATTAGGTCTTCTTTAAAAAAGTTGAACAGAACTACAAATAGTATTAGAAATAGAAAAGTTTAGATAATAGGAATAACGAACAATTGCAATAATTCATTCAAAATGATTCGTATAGTCTGGCTAATATGATCTAAACGTAGTGTACAATGGATATATTTATGAGTATTTAAGTATTTTAACTGCTTTATAATCATGGGAGACAATATATAAGTAAAACTTCATTCCGATGCATTGCACGCGGATAAATGGAGTTCTACGCTAGTATATGGACTGGAGTCTCTCCTACTCGGAAGCGAGTTGCTGCGTCTTTTTCCAGGTACGAGCGGCAAAGCGTTGCACGTGTGCAGTTTGATCGCATTCAGGGTTGGTCGCCCGAACCTACGGCCTACGTATCGTTTTATCACTCCTCTCTGACTCTGAGCTAAGTCGCAATTACACGGAAGCAAGCTTTGCCTCATGGGTCTGATTAAAATGGAAAGAATTCGTTTACCGTGATTTGCATAAAGTTCAGATGACGAAATAAAATTCTCGAGTGAGAAGCGTAAAGCGTGTTTGTTTGATTTGTCGAAAGAGGCATCGACTGTTTGTAGATAAAGCTAGCTGCAGGTTTATGCAATAATTCTAGTGATATGAATTTCGTACTCTTGCCCTGACGAGATAATCCAACAATGGTTGATTGCTTGGAATCGTGTTATGCGAATCATGCATGTTATTATGCATAGATTGAGGAAGTTAAATCATTGCAAATGTTTTCCTGGGGCACATAACATTAAAGTAATTCAATAAACCATAAGAGCAAATAGGAAGACGATATCCTAATTTGAATTGAAAAATGTCAATACAAAATTTAATGTGGTGTTGAACGAAAATATAGATCCTATGTGTTCTTTTCTAAAATACAGAAAGGACAATATACGTTATTAAAACTTGTACAAGAAAAACGCATTAAGGATCGTGATTCTTGTCCAAAGAAGAATACGAGGAGCGGAAGAATCCAAAGATTAACGCCCGTGATCGCGCGAAATTCCCGAATGAATGGCATTTTATTGTATACATGGCCGGGAAGATTTGCATACCGCGAACCTTATACTGATTAATGACACGTGCGGGCGCGAGTTTCTTTTTTATTCGAAGGTCGATCGAAAAAGCAAATAACCAGTCGGGGGAAAAAGTCGCGGGTTGTGTGCATGACGGGGGCAGGTAAAGTCGAAATAAAGCGAAAACGAGAGAGAGAGAGAGAGAGAGAGAGAGAGATGGAAAAAGAGGAAAGAAGTCCATTCGGGTGCCAAGAATGTGCCCACACGTATGAATTCTTCCAGATACCAAACGTGTGCCTACGTAAGTGATCTCTGCAGGGGGTACGAGAAAAAATTATTAGATTCCAAAGTATATATCTTCTTCCACTAACATTTTTAAAGAACATCTAACTGGCTGCAGTTGACAAAATTATGACGAACTTGTGATAATGAATTAATGAAAAATTAACTTTTTATTTATTGGCGGAAGGAAATTCAGTGTTTCTACTAAATAATAATAATAGTTTTATAAGTACTGATATTAAATTCTTATTTCCAGCACTTATAGTAAATCTAAATAAACAAAGAGAAGTACATATTCTTTTTTATCAGAGAATACGTGAAAGACTATTTCAGAGCGTGTTCCTGGAAATTAAGAATATCGGGTTTTATCGGCGTTGTCATGAAGCAACATATGTACTTAAAGTGTGCCGTTTCAGTGTATTATACGTATAGCTCTTTTATAGACTAATTGAAAGCGAGAATCGCTTATCCCGACGCGATGTGACGTGGCTCGCTCCGGTGCGGCACGATGCGGCGTGAAAATGAAAAATTATACTATCGTCATTCTGCGAGCTGTCCCCCGTGCCCGTGTCTTTTTTACGATACCCGTACGGGTTTATAATCTACAAAGAAATGGTAGTGCGAGGAAAGAACAAAGTTACCCGACACTTGACTGCTCCTATCGTAATTAATTTGATAACGGAGAAACGAACAGCCGCGACATAAATAAATGCGAGTTTCTATTCGATACGTAACAATCGTGACTCTAGCCCTGATAATTGATTTCCATTCCATGGGAATATGCAGAATTACAATATTCGCAAATCTGCATTTGTAATTAAACGAACTAATTTTTAAGTAAAGGCTTTCAAATTGTTTGAGTCGCTTAAAAAATTTACTTTCATATATAAAAATCTGTGAAAAATGAATAAATGCTCATATCAAGAAGGGATTTCCCGTGGTTCTTACTAGGATTTACAGAACGTCGGCTGCCCGGATTGTGCGTACAGATTACAGTAACAGTGAATCATATCCGCGCAATGGGAAAATTTCACTTAGCGTGTAACGTATCGCGGTGCGTTGATAATGAACTGTGCTATTCCACGTTTCGAAAGCCTTCTCGGAACTAAAAAGAAGGGAGAAACCGAGATGCAATAAAATTTCGTAACAAGAAATCAAAATTATCTTTCGAGCGTAAAAGCACTGAGTTATCGGCTGCTCTACATAATTAAGTTAACAACGGGCACTGGTACTGGCCGCAGCCTCTCGATTAATCATTAGCGCAAAGAGGGAGAAAACTAGAGACAAGACGCGCGAGAAAGGGAAGGAACAGATACCGCGTATATTTATAATTACATTTAAAAAAAAAAACAATTGCACTGTCGGATCTTTAATCGAGCGTCGGATATTACAGCTATTTACCTTTCTTCTTTGCCTGGTGCAAACAACAGACTATTTGTATCGCACGGCGGGATACTTAAAAGGCCGAGGGAACAACGGAACGCGCGCGCAAAAGTGCTAATAATTTTTCTGTCGTGCAATGACTATAAAAACAGTCCTCTCTCGTTGCTCGAAAAACACCGTCACCATCCGCACTTATCGCGCTACCGAGCGGTGTTTAATTAACGAAGAGGCAACCGCGCCGCGCGAACACCTAACTCCGACCGTACAATGAACAATTTAGTCGGCTAATATTTTGCGTAAATAGCTTTTGCACCTGTACGCAGCGTCGCACGAAGTACCGCCGCTTACTGCCATGGACGATTACCATAGCTTTTGTAGTTCGAATCAAAAGACGCGTTGTACTCGAAGAATTAAAGGAACATCCGTGTATGCTTTCGTATAGGACATACACATTACTTAATCTTGATGTTTACGATGCTTTTTAACAGTGATGCTAATTAAATTTAAGAGATGATAAGATATGTTCTGGAGTAGGTATAATAACTTGCATCAATTACGTTACTAAACGGCAACGGGGGTTAATACACCGCTATCTTCCTTAATCACCTGAATGTATGAAACGTCTCATAAATCAAGTTCTTAATCAGATGATCTTTCAATTCCTTTAAACATTACGCATACGTCACGTATCGGCTTCAACAAAAGTGAAATGAAATCTCATTATTTTAAAACGATAAGCGTTTATAAGACTGCGACCGAATTCTTCTGATCACATAATATTCCATGTTACTTATTAAAATTGACTCGGCGATTGTCCTGAAATATTTGTTTTAAAAGTAAACGATGTAACGCTTGGACATCTGAAAAAATATAAGAAACGATATTCAAACCACCACCTACCTTTGCCAAAGTAATGGTGTTCACGGCTGCGTCGAGATGAACGAAGACGGATAGAAGAACGGCAGCGCGTATCACCGGGATCATCATCGTGTCCTCGGCTGGTGGTACGTCCTCGAGGGTCGCAGGACCGAAGCCACTGATCCGACACGCACGTAACACACACGCCACTCACACGCATTCACTGTTCCTGGCCCATAGCATCCTCCTTTTCATGATTTCTCTTCTCTTTTCCGTCGAAATAAATGTACGTACGCGATTTCGCGAGTACGCGATATACTTCTACCTTTCACTCTCCTTTTCCCGCTCTTCCCGACCCGAATACCCCGCCGGTGTTTTATTTTTTTCTCAACGAACCTCGACGAGACAAGGGTAGGGCTCGTGCAAACGGAGACCACCACGAAAGGACGCAAATGTATGTCCAGCCGTGGCAACTGCCGCCGAGCAACTGGCACTTGCTTGCTCGCCTGCTGGAGCAGCCTCTGTCTCGAGTCTCGGCCCGATGGTAGACTCCCCGTTGCAGTCCTGTGTAGTATTATGTTATACGCTCCTCTTCGTCGCTATAGGAGAATTTCGATGGTTAAAAAGCGACGAGGGTTTCGTGTCCGGGGGTTTACGCAGTTAATAGTTGCTCCTTGCCTGTCGCCTCGATCTGACGATCTCTCGTCGCTCGACGATTAAACCGCAACAGATTTAAATTTGAGAAAAGCGCAGATTGTAACATTGATAAATGGTCTAGTTATCGGAATCGACTATCAATGGATTTTGCATAAAGTAATTATTGTTGTGCAGATATTATTGGTACCTGCAACAAAATAATAATAAAATATTGCGTATTCTAAATCCAGCAAAAGTGGATATGACGATTGTTTAGACAATTTCTATTGATTCAGTTTTGCACCCCATCGGATTTAATAAAAAATACATATGATCTGCTGTGCAGAAACGATTTATCCTTTCACGGAAGCGGATTGTAACGCGATACGTTTATCCGCGTTTCGCATTCTCACTGAGCAAAGTGCAATAAAGCGATTTGGACGTTCATTTCGCTTTCTTCATCTCCTCGCGCGATATAACGACACTCCTTAGCGAGTTTCGTGCGATCGAAGATTCATGAGTCATCGAGAATCCGAAACCGATTCGAGAACTGGTTGTTTGGCCAATGGAATGTAGCTTTTAACAGCGGTCGGTCGCGACCGGCCGGCAGCGCAGCGGCCGCGGCGGAAGGGTGTGAGAGGGTACAGGTGGACTGTGCTGGGCACGAGTGTTTAGGAATGGAGCGCACACCTGTGCCCGTCCACGTTCCTCATTAAATTTCAATCGGAGACCTGATTTATCCTTTTCCTGCCCAGATTTCGTCCCCCTGTCCCTCTCCGACCCACCCGAGGAGCAAAAAATATTTGGTCTCAAGGGAGAAAGTCACCGCACCGCTTGAATGGAACGAAAATCTATTGTTCTTTCAAACCAATTTTTTTTACTTATAATTCGCATTTGTATAAGCATAGTATTACAATTAAAATAATTTTTATCTCTCACACCTTGTTGGATTGTCTAATTTTAATGCGCAATCAACTTTCCTCTTGCATAAAGCAAACATTAATATTCTGTAATTGCGTAATGGCAGGTAGTTTAAATTATATAAAACTAATCATACAAATTCCAATTTCGAAAGCTTTGCAAAAGCCACTGCTTTCGAAAGCACTGGATATGCTAAGGTTTAATGTTAGTACCGGCCTGAAACGATTCTGTCGTGGAAGCAACGCGTATCTAGTTTATGCAGCGATTATACGTGATTTGTAATACAGTACGACAAGCGAAAATACCATATTTCACTCGATGCTCGTAGGTACGACGTGAAATTAGATGTGGAGTAGATTATTCTAAGTAACAAAGTCGGATTCGAAACTGGCAGAACGCGGCCGGTTTCATCAATAATTCTTAACGTTGTCGCGTGCAAGCAATATCTATCTTCGAGACACCTGCTCGCGGGACGAGCGAACACAATGGTGGTTAATCGGGCAGAACGATCGAACTCTCCGAGTGAACTCGTTCCACTGATGGGCGTAGCGAGCAAGATAATAACTCGGCTATTGCTCGGCTACCTACACGTATTCATGGGTGTAATTCGCTCGTAAGGTTCGCCCATTAATCGTCTTTAAACAACTTTACTAGCTGCCTGGTATATTGTATCCCATCCCTTCTTCTCCCCTCGAAGAAATAACAGATAAGAAAGATAGTATTTGTCGTGCCACAGTTACTCTTAATTATCTATTATTACAGTCTTCCGACTTCTTTTTATTGACCGCCGTACGATAACCGTATCATTAAAGTAGCGATTGTTTTCGGTGAAAATATTAATTACGAGCAATAACAATGAGGATAAATTATGATGCATAACGCAAACAATTTTATATCCGTTTAATATCAGGAAACAAGGCTAACTGCCTAATTCGTATTAATATAAAACAAGTACGTAATGATTATACTTTAATACTATGTACATGCCAAATATGAATTTCGTTAAGGATACGTTTCCAAAAAGAAGCATGAAAGCAGGAATGAAGGACAATCTTAATCCTTGACACGCGTGAATTTTACGATCTCCGGGTCATTCGATTTGAAATAAAGTAGATGGGTCGTTAACAGACTCGAACGATTTCTGAGGGATTTTACTTTCCACCTTGGAATTCGAAGCGGTCGCAAATTCTGAAATCGGCCAAACGTTCCTGTTCTTCCTGCACACGAAGAGGCTTAACAGACTGCTCGTTGGCCAAGCCGTCGTCGCGCCGGTTGGACAGCAACTCACTCGTCGTCCACTACGGCACACCTGTTCACTCAGGTATGCAATCTTCCCTCTCGCTCCTCTCCATCTCTCTTTTTAACTTCTTCTCTTTGTTCCATCTTTCTTCTCGCTGCCGTCGTCCCCTTCACATCGTCCTTTTGTCTCTTTCCTGCTCTTCATCACGACAACCGTCCCGATGGTGGTTTACCGTTGTCTCACTGATCCTGAATCCACCAAGAGAGCTGATCCATTCGTGGTGTGTCAATTTCAGTGGCTGTAAGCCAGCCTGCGATTTTCTATTCCATAATTATCGTTTTCATTTTCTGACTTTCATTTTTCGTTCTCTTCTCGAGTGCAAAATTTCCCCAGTCATCGACATGAAGTAGTAAAAATAAAATTATCTACTACAATTGATTTAGGATTAACTTCTTAACATTCTAGATATTCTTCGATTTCTATTTTTTGGATGATTAGTGCACATCTCCAAAAGTTACATTAAGCGACTCACAAACAATAAAGAAACTTTCCTTAGAAATGAATCACTAGTAAGTGGATAAGGAATTCACTTCTCGACCTATGCCTTCTCCTTGGAAGTGAATTTTTTCCGGTGTCTCTATATTTCCATTTATTACCACCCTACCGAGAAATGCCCGGCTGGTTTATAACCCTGACAGTTTTAGATTGTTTCGAACCGATTGGAGCAAGTGGTCGGTTCAGGAGGGTCTAACAATAAGACGAGGTCTCGCAGACTCGGTTCTCGAACCCTCGACCTGCTCGAACAGAAGAACCAGACAATAAGACGCCAACATTCGGACCCACGATACACCTGTCTTCTTCGCTGTGTTGCCGTTATTTGTTCATACGAAAATTTAGATACTTAGCACGAAGTATCTCGTTTGAACGTCACAATAAATTTAATAAAATTGCAAATAAAATAAAAAAGAGGAGGGATAATATAACTATTAATAAACATGATCAGTCAAATAGAAATTACAGGAAAACAGGCTAAATCGTTAAATTGTTTGTTATCCCTTTATTTCTTGTTCTTCAAAGATACGGTACAGAATTTGTTTTAACACTATCGTCTCGTCCCTCAGTTTGCAGAATTTATAAGACGGATACTCTTTACTGCAAGCTTCCAACCCACATTTTTCTAACAATATCTCGTTGGTTTCCTCTTCCTGCTTTACATTCCAGATATTGAAGAAGTAAATCGTGTACGTGCTTATGTCATTCGTCGCGGAAGAAGACCAAGCACACACGTGCACCTAAAGTAAAACGATACCGCAGAAAAATAATGTATCCTCTTCCTTCGTCCTTTCTTCAGTCTGGGCTGCGTCATTACTTACGTCCATGTCTAGGACTCGAGCGCAGGAGTTAATCGAGTCGAGGACCGCCGCACACGTTCTGGCGATGTGCGCACTATGCATCACACCGGTCGCCTTATGATCATTGACGTACGCGTCAAAATCATCGAACAGGAGCACGGAAGGCAAAATATGGAAGGTGTGCAGTTCATTAAGTCGCTCCATCAGAGCTTCGTGGTTTTCTAGGTACCTAAGATATGCATTGATTTCTTCACTGTTGTTCTTTTCATAATCAAGAGAATTCGCGTCATACAGATAGTTCCAATGCCGTTCGCTAAAATTTCAACGATATCATCGATTCGATTGACGTCATTGGATAGAATAAAAGTTTATTGCATATCCAAAATCAAACATCGTCATTTAATTTTAGTTCGAAAACCGAAAGATTGTAAATGACTAATTTTCTCCAATTAATCTAAATTAATTCTGTCATTGGATAAGATTGTCCTAACATGAGTACGTTTGACAGAATATTTTGTAATGAAATTACTAAATGATAAAAGCGCCTTAGAGCAAATGTATTAAATAATATCGAGGAAGGCACAAAGGAAAACGAAGTGCGCAATACATTAATCGACGTTCGGGTCTCGAGTCTTGAGTTGGATGAAAATGAACGATTTGAAAATAAGCGGTTCGATTTAGTTTAGTTAAATGGACATGAATCTGATGCTTTCTTTAGAAACGAATCCCGAAGGCCGATGCACGTGCAGAGGAACGGAGAGGAGCCGCAAGAAAAGTGTTCCGCTTACATAAATCTCATCAGCTTGAAAGCCGCGGGTGCTGGATTACTTCTGTCGTGACAGCCAGCCGGCAGCCTTTCCAACGGAGCCGGTGTAATGTAAACGACGCGGCGTCCTTCTTCGGCCCAGTAAATTGCTACCTACGAAGGAAAACGCGATTCCGGAAATGTCGGGACCGTTTCTGACAGAACGAACAAGTAATGAGCACCGTCCGCGCGATAGCGTGCTCCGAAACCCGTTTTACGCAAACAGACCGTCAAATTTAATTAAACTACCCGATTTATGGCTATCAACTTCTTACCGAGTGTTGATGTCAGAACACAATCAATTTTCAATAAGCAAATGTAAAATGTAGAACTTCTGTATATCCAGATCTAAATTTAAAAGAACGAATAGGACGCAAAATTATGCAAATACAGCCTGTTTTCACAAACGGCATCGCAATAACAGAACGTCACGGCACTCAAAATATTTACTTATATGTTTCAAAGGTTCCACAAATTCCAAATAATAATATGAATCGTTGAATGATTCTTATACAAAACCTGTTAGCGCCATCATATTTCTACATTTTATGCAAAGATAACATGTCGAATGTTCAGAATATATTATACAATTTTCATGCAAATTTTTACGAAGTCATGTTCCGCGAATCGTTAACTAATTTTATCATACTTAAATCCTTGTTTTACAATTACTACTTTTTTCAAGGTAAAGAAAAGTTTGCTTATATTTTTAGGTCATAGCTAATACTTTTCATTTTGCGCATTATAAGACAGTCCCATTTGATTTAGATAAAAAAAAATGATGCAACTTGTGTTACGTATTTGTATATTGATTTTAAACTATACTGTATTTTAAATATAAATAAACGAAAAGATTTTAAATATATAAATAATATATGTATATATTCATATACATTAATACATTACCTCAAACATGAAAGTTTTACTGAACTCCGCAGGCCCACAAAGTAACGTTGATTTCACATTACTCTTCGCCGAGAACATTATATGAAAATCGTTCGACTTTCAAACTGTATATACTTCTATTAGATTACTGCGATAATAACTACTGTTTCCTCTTTTCTTTAACATTCGTAAGTCAATCATCGATACATCAGCTGTGTTTATAAAGAAATTTTTAAAGATATTTTTGAATAATATCATTGAGTTCTATCCTAACTGAATTGTGAACTCCCGTAGGAAGAAATAGCTGCGGCAACAGTCCGAGAGAAATGCAACAGGAGTGGTTCCGGTCCAGCAGTAAATATATCGAGTAGCATGAGTCATGAGTTTCTCTATAATCAAATTCGCAATATAATAGAGTCATTGAGCTCTATATAGAGCTCGATGGACATAACACACGAAAACTACCCGTTTCGCATCTCTCTTGGACCGGCCTCGTCATTCACACTTCAAGTCCCGTTGGGATAGAGCTCAATGTAACACAATTTTCATTATGGTGACATCTTACGTCATGTACATGAATGATCACATATGTATTCCTCTTCGAAAACTACTATACAAACTTATACAAACTACAGACGTGTTCGCGTAATTAATGATTACTCTACAGGTAGACGCGCACGTCTGATGCTCTGAGAAAATCCTTCCCCACTTCTCCTATATAGCTATGATTGACAATGAGTTCTCCACTTCCACGCTTCCATACTCCACATATGCGATTGTAGTAGTGATTGTAACTATGCATGTGTGAGTGACTCGTTTCTGCTCAGCTGTGCTTATTAGAAATAAATTCATTGAATTTGAACTCACTAACACTGACGATACTAGCATTATTATATATTATATATTTACATATTTTGCTTAGAATAAACAACTATATAAAGCGTCTTTTATTTGTTGTCATAAGTTTTCAAGAATGCTTTTATGTAAACGAAGTGATAGCTTGATAAAAAGGTATTACAAACGTACCTGTAAAATGTGTTATGCACAATTTGCTACGACAAATTTGTAAGTATGTCAAAAATAATGTATTAGAAAATAAGGAATTTAGAAATGTAATGAAATGTTCCTTTGTAGGAAAGAATGGAAGCCTACAATAGGTCTGGAGATACATGCACAAATTTCTACAGAATCTAAATTATTTTCTGGATCTTCCACAAATTTCAAGAGTCCAACTAATTCTTGTGTATCACTTTTCGATTCTGCAATACCTGGAACAATGCCAGTATTAAACAAAAGATGTGTAGAAGCTGGAGTATTGACTGCTCTGGCTCTTTCTTGTGAAGTAAATGCAGTCTCAATGTTTGAGAGGAAGCATTACTTTTATTCTGACTTACCTGTGAGTATATTTTATAGTAACAAATGAAAACGATGTACAATACTTCTTAAGTATATATCTCATTAAACATTGTTTGTACAGGCCGGCTTTCAAATTACACAACAAGTAAAACCTTTGGCTATTAATGGAGAAGTCAAGTTTACTGTATTTAAATCTGGGTCACGTACAGACACTTATTCTAAATCGTCAAAAATTAAACAGATACAACTTGAACAAGACAGTGGAAGAAGCTTGCACGATGAAACTCTTAAAAAGTACTTCTTAATTTCATTCTGTTTTCATACATCAAGTGGATTACGTTCTGTGATTTAAATCATATATTTCATCGTTTCATTTATGATAGAAGTTTAATTGATCTGAATCGAGCTGGGATACCCTTAATGGAATTAGTATTTGAACCCGACTTAAATAGTGGAGACGAAGCAGCAGCTCTTGTAAAGGAATTATGTTTCATTTTGGAGTTATTAGGCACATGTACATGTAAAATGGAAGGTCATTTTATTCACACAGTATTTTCTTATAAATAATTATTCGTTGGAAATCATTGAACTATTTATTTTACATCAACAGAAGGAGCTTTGAGGGTTGATGCAAATGTTTCCATAAGTAAACCTGATGCGCCTTTAGGCACTCGTACTGAATTGAAGAATATTGGAAGCATAAGTGCAGTTAATCATGCTATAGATCATGAGATACACAGGCAGATTTTGATTGTAGAAGCAGGAGGACAAGTTATTAATGAGACCCGAGCATGGGATCCAATAAATAAAAAAACAGTTCTTATGCGCGAGAAAGAAGATAGACATGTAATGTAATAATTATTATGTACTTAATTTTTTGCACTAATTTTAGACTACAGATCACATATAAGATACACGTATTGTTCTTAAAGTGGGTTAATTATTTATAGGATTATCGTTTCATGCCTGAACCGAATTTACCTCCGTTACGCTTGTATACTGATGGGAGTACGGAAAATAAGTTGAATTTAATCGACGTGTTATCTTTAAAAGAAAAATTACCGGAACTGCCAGAACAAATACGACAACAATTAAAAGATCGTGGTCTTACGGAATATTCATATGTAGGAATAACGGTATGTTCACTATCTGAAGATTCAGTCAAGTATTATTAAAACTGGAGTATTAATTTATTATTCCAGAGTGATTTGAAAATGTTTGCATTGTTTCGCAATATACTGAATAACGGAAAACATCGCCAAGCACAGTTGGTTGCTCAACTTCTTACTACAGAAGTTCTGGCATTTTTAGACGATCATGAACTGGATCTTACATTTTGGTAAGTTTATTATATATGCAACTGAGAAAATTATTTTTATGTAAAATATTTCTAGTTTAAATAATCAAAAGTATATTGAGGAACTGTTGGACTTGGTACATTTTGAAACAATAAATCAAACAACATTCAGAATGTTGTTGGACGAAATACTTAATCAACCAAATAAAATGCCAAAACAGGTAAAGCTAATACAAAAAGTTTAAGTTTCACTTAGATTGACAGAAAACTTTAATGACACTTCATTATCTGTAGATTGTTGAAGAGAATAATTGGTACATGATATCGGAGGAAAGTAGATTAGAAGCGATATGTTCAGAAGTTCTTAAAAAGAATCCAAAACTAGTCAGAAAGTACAAACAGGGAAACAAGAAAAGAGCATTCAGGAAATGTCTACACGAAGTAGTTTTAGCTACCGAAGGTCGTGCGAATATGCGAAAAGTGTCAGACATTATGACGAGGTTGTTGAGTTAATTTCGAACGATTTCACAACTGTTTTTGTGGTACAAATATTTTAATAATAATATTGTAAATAGTTAATTGTGTTTATTATTCAACATAATAACGCATCACCACATTCAAAACCATCGTACGAAACGTATAAAGCAATTTTCTAGTATTTATTTTTAGGTAAATTGCAGTCACAAGTATAAAACCAAATGAGAATTAAATCTCTG